ACACCTGTGCCTGGGATTGTTCGGGTTAGGGGGTGTGGGCTGTGCACATCTGGGGATGCTGGTGGGGAGCCACAGAGGCTTCAGGGCCATGTTCCTCCAAGCTCTCGTGGAGCTTTGCAGGAATGACTCGCAGGGCTCTGGGGAAGGTCCATGGAGCTGCCAAACCAGCTCTTGGGTTCGAATCCCAGCCCCACCACCAACCCAACCTCAGACGGTTATTTAACCTCCCTGAGCTTCAGCATGATAGTGACACGTGCCACTTACGGGCCCTCTGTGCCGGGCAGTGATCCGGGCCTCAAAGGCCTGATCTCACTTTAATCCTCTCAACGAACCCACGAAGCTCATGCCATTCTTACCCCCGTTTTAAAGGTGTGGAAGTGGAAGCTTAGACTGTAAAAGCCTTACGCAGGACACATGACTCGCAAGTGTCAGAGCTGAGGCCCATCCAGAGGCTGCCCTCAACACAGGCCACCTGCCTCACGGTGCTCTGACTGACACCAGGACTCACTGAGGCTGCACTGGGCAGGCCTGGCCCGCGGGCAAATGCTGACAGAGCAGCCTGCCAGGCACCGTCCTAATGTTTACCATACAAGGCATGTAATCCCTGTTTAGAGACGAGGAAACGGGATGAGAAAGTCACTCGCCGACAACACCACAGTCAGACCCTAACCTGGCAGTCTGAGCCTTGAACCCCAGTCTCTAAGCACACACTGTCTCCCCTGTCCCGAGCAGGGTAGGGTGCTCCTGCACTGCCTGCTGGGAGGCAGGGGGATGGGGGAGCAGGTGAGAGCAGGCAGAGCGTGCAACAGGAAGCAGGGAGAGGGGCGGCTGCTGGCCTGGCTGGGCCAGGGTCAAGGTCATGCCACTGCCCCAACAGGATCCAGGGCAGCCCTGGCTCTGGGCAGGCCCAGCCCTTTCCCACAGTGGGGAACCATAGAGGGTCCACCTTGGAGGGTGCTCAGGACAAGGAGGCCCGTAGAGGACGCAGGCAAGCAGGACGCCAAAGGAAGGGCCCAGGTCCAGCCAGGAGCCCTAGTGGACCCAGCCAGCTGCCCACCTTCCACGCTTCCTTGGCAATGGGGGCCCTGCAGGAAACACCCCGACCCACCCTCTGTGGCTCCCTGAACTCGCCCCAGCCCAGCCCCTCCCACCCAGGTCAGATGCCAGGCCCCCAGAGCAGGTGTCTCCACATGAGAGAGTCTGAATGAGGCTCGCAAGGAGCAGGCGTCAGAATGTGACTTAATTCCCACAGCGTCCAGGGGCCGGAGGCTGGTCTACGGACGAGGAGACTGAGGCTCAGGGAAGCAGAGCGCTGTGCGCGGGGCTGGGCGGGCCAGGCCTGCAGCAGAGGCCTGCGAGGAGCCTGAGCCTTAGCCAAGGGCAAGGCGAGGAGAGGGGCTGGGGAGCAAGAGCTAGACGGAGAGAGAGAAGCAACCTGAGAGGCTCCCCCCAGCTCCCAGTGCCTGCGGGTTGGAGGGGAGGCTCAGCCTGGCTCTCAGAGCAGGAGGCAGGTGTGCGCCAGCCCGGTGGGGCTGAGAAGGGTGTGCAGAGCCTGTCCCAGGGCCTGCAGAAAGAAACGAGGCCTCTGGATGGGCACAAACTGGCGGCCTGGGTGGGACAGCTCGCCCCAGCGCAACCACCTTCAGAGCCCCTGGGCACCTCTGAGCCCTGCGCTGTTCACTGTCACCCCTCCCCTTCCCCCCCCCAACGCGCGCGCACACACACGCGCACACACGCACACCAGGCTCCCTGGCCTCTGCACATTCCATTCTCAACATTTGGGACGCCTACTGGGTGCCCCCCTGAGCCCCGCTGATGCCTGTGGGTCCCCGTCGCACCTCTTGTTCCCCTGCAACTCTGCTACTCTCTCTCACACGCCGTGAGCACAGGGCTTGGCTGGCACACGGTGAGGCTCCAAAATGTTTGTTGAGCTCAATTCACCGTCAGATTTAAAGCACACACCAACAACTCACTGACTCCTTTCTCAGACTTTGAACAGATATGTGCCACACCCACCCAGGGAGCCGCCTCATCTGGGCCAGAATGGGAAGAGGTGGGGACATCCACATGGGCTCAGTCAAAGGACTTCAGCTAAGAACAACCCGCTCCGGAACAGAGGTGCAAAGGGAAGGACAGTTCACTTGCTCCTTGTTCTCCCCGTGGGGCCGCCGGCCAAGCAGGGGCGTCAGGGGTTGGAGGAGGACCCTGAGGCTCAAGCCGGGCTCTGCACATGACTGGCTGTGTGACCCTAGGCAAGCTGTCACCCTCTCTGGTGACTCTTGGGCAGTGAAGGCAGGAAGGGGGCAGGGCTGGCAGGGGCACGAGCCCGAGGTGGGACGCACACGGGAGATGCTGATTCAGAGGACTGAGCGCGGCGGCAGCGGGGTGGACGCGGTGTTTGGACAGCTGCAAGCCCTTAACAGGGATTTCCCCCCTTTTCAACAAATCCCCGTAAAACAGCATTTCGTCCAAGTCAGCATTTTGTGGCG